TGTAATAGTATATTATTTAACGAGCGGTAATGCAGGTCATAACTCACGCAGATGAAGTTTGCAGCACGAGCCGCAGGCGAGTGCTGTAATTCATCAAGTGAGTTATGACCATTACCGCAAGTTGAATACTATACTTTATCTACGACTATAACAATAAATACTAAGATACAAGTATCGAGAAAGAACTTTATTCACAAATCTTAATAGTTATAACAATTAAATAAAAGTTTTAGGTGTAATTACTAATAAATTCTGTATTGCATTATTAGCTACTTCTCTTATTTCTGGAGATGTACATAATAACTCATCTTCGCTATCTAAATTCATATTTTTTAGGACTATTATTAGAAATTGATTTGAAAACGTAAAAATTATTTTGTTAAAACATCAAATGACAGTCCCCTCAATGATAATAATTGACAGTTCCGCCTACTGAGAAGCGTTGGCAATTTAATAATTTTAAAATCTTTTAATTATTCATTTCTTTCCACTTGTTAAAATTCTTTCCATTTTACACCAATGGAACGTATTTATCGGCTTAAAAATTTCCAAGAATTTACTGCGTACACTATTTACATACCGAAGTATCATTGTAGAAGCCCAGCGTGAGTTATAATAACTCACTATAAAAACTCACGCTACTTGTTTATTAATACTATTAATTGCTCAAAAGCAGTTGAATAATTAATATAGAAATTAATAGGAGTAGATAAATGTACTTACTTCAAAATTGCTGGATAATATGTCAATAATTCCATCTAAGGATTAGGCTCACTAAAATCATTTGCCTTATATTTGCATTAGTGATTCGTTTGGCGGATTGAATCTAAAATCCCAGTCAGACGTTGTATGAGGTGTCCCAAACCCAAATCCGCAAAAATCACAAAAATCACAACATAGCTACCCAAGATATTGAAGTTTAAAGTTTTTTACAAATATCTCGCGTTCTATGCGTCGGACACTCATAAGGTCAAGATTGGTGTAAGCTTCGAAGCATTCAAGCCCGATTTTTCTGCAATCACACCTGTTGTTGCAACCTTTTCAGCAATTGCAGAATATACCAGATTTGCATATCATTTAATTCTCTACAACTTTTACATTGACTTCATGGACGTTCATGCATAGGAAGCGAGATATTCGGGAAGAACCGTTTTCTTTGGAAATTTTACCTTAAATATTTCGAAAAGAGTTCTTATGGATGTCCGGTGCATAAAACCCGAGATATTTGCAAAAAAACTTTGATCTTCAATGCCTTGGCCATGTTGTGATTTTTGAGGTTTTGGGACACCTCAAACATCTGTGCAAAAATTCAGCTTGGAGGGAGTTTTGTCGCGGTTTTCTCTTTTTTTGTCTAATTTCCTTGGGCTGTAACAGTTTCACTTATATGTAGCCGCCCTTCAATTTATTTCTCAAATATCTTTGTTAAAATTACGAAACACTGAATAAATTATAGATAAGCGATTGAAGAAACGTATTTTTAATTTTAACGTTGATTGGTTACGTAGAAGAAACTTGCTTTTAAAAAACTCCATGGACAAAGTTCAGTCAAGTACAGTCGGCGCCACCCAAATGTGAACGGCAATATTGTACCGTGTAATTTAGACAATCATGGTCGTCATAAAATTCAATAGTTGTCAAATATATATGTCACTTAGAGCAAAACATAATGAAATGTAAACAAGTAACGTGAAATATGCAGGAGCATTTAACTGAGGCGCAAAGAGCAAGGGCTGTAGCTAAATTGGAAGATAATTGGTCTTTGAGTGAAGTGG